TCTGTTCGGCTTAGTTTTTCGGATCTTTGCTGTGGAGGGACGGCATGGTGCTTCTGCCTAGAGCACCATTTTCCCGGCTGATTACATTCTTAAAGTTGTACAACCATTCTCACCCTCCTTTTCCAAGTTGTTCCTCCCCCTTTAGGATAAACTCACTGCCCCTAAAGTTCCTATCAAATCTTTCAAGTTGCTGTTGTCAGTTCAGTCCCATGTAGATAGTTCTTAAAAGAGCACAATGCTCAAGGCAGACACTGTTTACTAGTTAAGCTAAACTATTGTTTGGTTTAAAGACGACTTTGGGAGATATTTTTCATTTAAGGTTTAAGATTTAAAGATTGTATCAGGGAAATAGTTTCAGGGGTCCGTCCAGCCTCTGTGGCTCCAGAAAATCTGGATTCCATGAGAATTTTAGATTCTGTTTTTGATTTTCCCCCTTTTGATCAGGACTCTGCTATAAAATCTTTGAACAAAATGTTCGGTGTTGGTAGCTAGGCACCATCCAGTTCTTCCGGTCTCATGGCAAAGGAGGCAGTTGTTCATGGAGGCAACTAGCCACACATTCTATTTCTTCCTCCTGTTCCTTATTTTCCCTCTTCCTCTATTTCTCTAGGTGAATAGATACCCATTGTTGTACCTTGGATGACCACTTGCAGGCTTTTAAGACCCAGGACACTATGCAGCAAAGTAGGAGGTCGAACAGAAGCATTAAACTTGATATTAGGCCACTTAACTGAGACTTCCCATGAAACCATGACCCTAAACCTCCATATCAAAGAGCCAAATCCCATGAGGTATTTTGTTGTACATAAGCAGTCTCAGCAGCTGCTCTTTGTGTCATTGTTGTAAATATATCTGTCATACAACATTTGTGAATTCAGCGTTTTACAGGTGTACAAAATTATTGACAGGAATTACATTAATCAGTTGTGGAAGCCTACCCTTAATCAATGTGATTTTCCATCATCGTAAACTCCCACGTAGATCTTATAATAGATTTTATAACATCTATTCTTTGGATATCTTATAACAGATCTAATCATGCTCCAGCCCTGCTCAAAAAATGTTTATAGTGTATCTTTGCAGAACAATAAAAATTATAGTAGCAAACACCCTAAAATTCTGTTGATATGTAACCACAGAAGCATTAGCATTAAGAAAACTTAGACTTCATGATAAGCTTCGTTGATAGAGGCTTATGAAGTTTTGAAGTGCCTGGATAAGATCCTATCTATGTACATACTAGAATTAAATTAATTGTTAATTCAACCAGTATTTACTGAGTGTTGACTTTGTGCATATGCCATGTAAGTTTACAGTGGATGCCACAGAGACTTGGGTGGACAGGGTGCCTCCTCATGTAGCTTACATCGCCAGCTCATTTTGGTAACCTAGAAAGTCTAGAAAAATGTAAAGAATATTCAACAGTGAGTTGTTTGTCTGTTTTACACTTTAATTCCTCAATAATTTCACTTAGATAAAAAAGAGTTAACATTAAATAAAAGGAATCATAAAAAAAAAAAGGGAGAATTTATTTTAACACTCTCAGTGTGGGACTGGCCTTTTCTAAGCTTGACAGCAAACCAGAAGCCATAAACGAAGAGTGATATTATTGTTATCAGATTTCCATATGGCAAAAATGTGGTCAAAAGATAAATGTGAAAGAGGAAAAATATTTGCACTTCATATGGAGATGAAGAGCTAATTTCCTTCATGTAAAAATACCTCCTATAAATCAATAAGACACCAAAATCTCAATAAAAAAATGGGCAAAGTTCACAGAAAAGGAAATATGAGTGGCTCTTACACTCATAAAATAATCCTC